AAAAACTTTTTGCGAACATCTTTTTTATGTGTGATCAAAGGATCAGCAGAAAAAGTTTAATCCTCATACTATTTAATATATTTTACATAATAAAAAATATTATGGTTAAATTATAAAAAGGAAAATCTTTAATATCTAAAGAAAATTATAAAAAAAGATTAGAATAATGTTATATTAGAAAAAATTGAAATTTAAAATAAAATACAATAATTTGAAATGACAAATTTCATTTTTATTATTTTAAAATAACCCATATCAATAAATCAAGAAATTAAAATATAATAGCATCAAAATATTTTACAAAAAAATAAGCTTGGATCTTTAATTCAAATTTTTGATAAAATTATAGAATCTATATATATTGAAGCTTAAAAAATAATCTTTTATCTTTTATTGATGAATTAGATAATAATTTAGAATATATTTTTTAAAATGATAATGCTTCAGTTTATCAAACAAAAATAATTAAACAATGATTAGAAAATAATTCAATAACATACAGTATATTTCTTGACTTTCATAATTACCAGATCTTAATTCAATTGAACATTTATAAAATATTTTAAAAAAAGAATTCATAAATATAATTCTTATTCAAAAAATTTTACAAAATTAATGCTTATTTTAAAAAAAGAATAAAATTAAATTGAATAAAAAAATTTAAAAAATTTAGTATAAAGTATATTAAGAAGAATTCAAGTTATAATAAATAATGATAGACATCTAGCAAAATATTAATAATATTAATAAAAAATTTAAATCTTTGTAAATACATTAGTACAAATTTTATTAAAAATTATTTGATAAATTCTTTAATAATAATAAAAACAAAATTAGCTTTAATTTTTAAAAATTGTGATAATTAACATATGATTAAATACCTTTTATAGATAAATATATATAGTATATATAATATTATATTTTTCTTTTAAAATTTATATTTATAGATAAATTTAAAGTAATTTATTATATATTATAAACAATTGATTTTTCAAAAAATTTTTTACAGATTTTAAAGTAAAAAAAAAATATTTAATAAAAAAAAAATCAATAATATGATAATTTAAATAATAATTAAATAAAAATTTAAAATTAAATATTTAAATCAATTTTATAATTAAAAAAAAATAAATTTAATTATATATATAAATTAACTTGCTAATTTATTTTATTTATTATTTTGAATAAAAAAGAATAATATAAAATAATATAAAAGTTTTGATATAAAATAAGTCAAATGAATTTTTTTAAAATTAAAAATCTAATATAATTTTATATATAATATATAATTTAATTTATAGATTTATTAAAATTTAATAAAAAAATTTTTTTTTTTGATTTTTTAATAATATATAAAAAATATTTGCAAAAAAATTCAAAATCTCTTATTATTAATTTTTTGATTGCCATTTTTAAAGAAGCATTCTTTCAACACTTCATATTTTATAAATAATAAAACTTTATAGCATTCATTTTTAATATTTATCTTATTTAACAAGTATCTATTTATATTCTTATTACTTTACTTTTCCTTTTCAAAATTCTAAACCTAGTTATATATAGTAGAAAAGCTAATTTGAATAGAAAAAATCAAACAAAAAATATATTTTTTTCTTTTTTATAAAGATTCTAAAGTTTAAAAAAAAATATCAAAGCTACTTATTTTTATATGGGTTTAAAGTATCAATATCTTTAATATAAATAACAGTTTCTCTCTTAATATATAACAAAATTTTTTTATTTTCTTGAAATATTTTATCTATTTTAGATTTATCTTAAAATTTGATTATACTAGATTTTGAATAAATAAATTAACTAAAAATTTGAATTGATTGATTGATTCTTAATTAGTAGAAATATAAATATAGATATATAAATAAATAGAAATATATAGGCTATGCTTTTCTATTTTTTATCAACTCCTACAAATATTAAGTCTAAATAAAAAATAATATAAAGACAAAGTTAAATTGTAAAACTATTATTAGGAATCTTTTTTGGTGAAACCTTGAATTGTTCCCCTTTCCCAATTTCTTTTTCTTTCCCCTTTCCCTTTAACTTAACAATTCATGGTTTATGAGTAATCTATAGTGACAAACTGTTGACGATAAACCTAGTGGATAGAGGTTATATACCAATCCCCTAGGGGAGTGAAACATTGTTCCCTAGACCTGACTTAGAGTACTTAGATATAACGACGAGTTAGTCATTATGTGAAAAATCTGTAATATTGTAGATAGTTATATAACTTCTTAATAAAGATCAAGCCATGTGACATGGTTGCGGGTTAAAAAAAAAAAAAATATATTAAATAGTATGAGAATTCATTGAGATTGTTAATGAATGATTAAATTTTTCTATTATTTGCTAATGTCTCTTTCTATCAATTTAAATGATAGAAAAATTGATAAGTTTGTGAGTTTAGGCATTAATTTTTGAATAAAGGAAGTTTGTGACTACGTAAAGTTTGGTCCTTTGAGTAGTGATCTTCATGTGGTCGGATACTTTTGTCAGGTGAATGTACGTATTTTGAAAGTAATTAACAGTTAATGGTTTTATATACTCTCGTAAAAGATTACGTAATTAATACGTAAAAATTTTTATTTGAAAAAATTATGATTTATTTACAAAGCATTTTTTGTAAAAGTATAACACGTGCGATCGTTGCATCGTGCACAGCGCGCGATTTTGTTTCAAAAAAACTTATCCGTAAGAAAGCGTGCTCACAAAATATGCCTATGAAGGTGTAGTATTGTGCACACAGTTAACCATGGACGTTGCAAATTAAACCTATCGATCCAGCGAAAAAAAAAAAACAAAAACAAAAACAAATGACTGAGTAAAAAGGGGGTGAATATTGAATGCTAAAGAAAAGAAAAAACTTGATATAATTAAAAATCTTATAATTCACTTTGCGAGTTATCCTGGGAACAACGTACCGGAATTCAAACAAATGAAGTGTAAAAGGTGACGAAGAAAAAAAAAATTTTTTTTTTATAACAAAAATGAGAACATAATTTCGTTCAGTTTAAAGAAACGGAATAAACAAAAAACTATCTACAATTCTCGTGCGTCTCATCGAAAGCACTGGAGAAAGAAGATTGCGCTTAAAGCGAGGCTTGATCCTGATAACGGCCCACCTCCCAATTGTTCTCCAATGATGTCAATGTTAATCAGACCTTAATATTTCTTTAAGTGAATCTTTTGGTGGCGACGAAGGTTGCTCACAACCGAGAAACAGCGACCACAACCATCTTCGTCACATTTAAATGGTTTCTCACCAGTATGGGTGTAGATGTGAGTTTGCAATGTACTTGGCCTACTGAATCGCATTTGACAATAATTACAAGCGTGCTTCTTTGGACTGTCCACCGATGTACTTGCCCTAAAACTTGCCATCAACGATTTTGGCGAAGGAATGTATGATAATGACAGCGGAACCTTCCTTGGATGAGATGAGTTGAGAGCTCTCGGAGTGTGTCTGTATGGCGACGATGAGTAAGATGAATACTGGTTTTTTTCTGTTGGTTATTCAAAAAAAAAAAGAAAAAAACGAAAGAGGAAAAAAAAAAGAAAAGAAAAAAAAAAGTCGTTCAGATTATAACAATAATCATTAGCCTTTGACATTGATCGTGTGTTCAAGAGATCCTTGAAAATGTTTCTCAATGATCACCTTGTTTTGATGAATTCGGTGTTATACCATCATCATTAACATAAGAAGCATGTGAGGAAGGCATCCAAGAATATGAGGAGGAGGGTGATTGCGATGACTCCGAGTAACAATCGTCGTCATCATTTACAGAGGATGCACCGTATTTCGGGAGGTAACCGGGATTCGGTTGAATGGGAGTATATCGTTCCGCGCGTCGGAACATTTCATTTCCGTCACTGGGAGCCTTCTTTTTAAAAAAGTCTAGTTGAAACGTTGCACTCGGATTTACCATAGAAGGATCGGTGAAGAATGTGGGGTCTATGTTGCTTTCATCAAATCCTGTTTGTTGTTTTGTGCTCGGGTTATTTGCGTTTTCTTCACAATCATCTTTCCAATAATCAACATCATACGTTTTGTTGTTGTAATACGCGTCATTAGGATAAGGAGTCACACCGTGTTCCCAGTTAGGCCCATACCCATAAGTCCCGTGCCTGGCGGCAAAGGGATAAGGTTGATACGAGCTCTCGGACATTGCGCTAGGCGATTTCCCGGAGGGCGGTCAACACCGGTCGAAAAGGGGGACGCTTATAAATCAGAGGGCCAAACTGAATGCCGACGTGACAGCTATTCCGTTTTGAACTTGAATACAAATAGAGCGCCAACTTTATGTTCTTTATAGCAACTTTTTTTTTTTTTTTTTCGGAATTAGAACCCCCTCACCGCAATACCTTTTTTTCTCTTCAAAACTTTTTTATTAAATAGCGTTTGAAATGTTGACGTTCACTGGAAAAGTGTGATAGGCCCGATAACTAACTTATACATGTGTCGAGTGAGTCACGAGAACGCAACTTGCAGATCATCACACGGCATTAAATAAAAAAGGTTATGGTGAGGAACCTCGCGCTGATTATACCGTACGTGTCATTTTTTACTTACAGTATCCATCAACTCTTCCCTCATGAATTCTCGGTTTGATAAAGTTGTCCCAAGATTAGTTCGTGACCATTTAGATCCAGTGCTGCTTACCTTTTCATTCTTTGGATTTCTTATTGGCTTTTTCCTCGCCCATGTCGTCAGAAATTATTATTATTCTGGCGAAGGTAGTTACACGATCGAACTAGCGAAAGAGTATTTATCTGCTTTCATTGGCAGGTCCTACAGGTTCTATAGGCTGGGAGTGGAAGAAATGATGGATCCAAGGTGACAAGTGGTAAGCGAGTCAAGAGATTGAAAGTTATATCGTTGGCCTTCGATGTACGTACGTACATCACAAAGATCACTTTTCCTTCATGACAGGAATGTTTCACAAAAAAAAAAAAAAAAAGAAGAGATTTTCATGTTTTTCAAATGCTATCAAGTCAATATTCCATGAAATCGGATCTCTAGAATTGTGAGTTGGTTTTTGTAAAGTTCAACTTGTGAACATCTATACGTATTCAACTAATCGAAATCATCCCTTCGTCAACTATATATAAGTGTATCTTTTTTTTTTCTTTTGTAAATATTCTCATTGTCAGGGTGCATTCGTCTCATGATGTAAAAGCGTCTAGGATTGAAGTAAAAAGTCATCTGCGATAATCTCTTTTTTTTTTCTCTA